CCCCCCCCAAAGATTGTGTTAAAAGACTGTAAATAGTTACCTCTGCAATGGCGTCCTTTTCCAAGTGGGCACGGGAGCCACACACCACAGCCAGGTTGTCTGACTTTTTGTTAACCTTAAACATTTCTGTTTCCAGTTTTCTGTAATCTTTAAACTGGCTTGCACCATCAGCATCAGCAAAAAGAAGCAGTTTTCCTCGTGCTACAAACATACCCTGTGGACACAATAATAATAAGATCGGTTAGTTGTATTTTTAGATGATGTTGAAATTGGCTGTTATAACTTTCATTAACAAAACTTCACCAGATTTCATCTTGCTTATCTATAACTACATCGATGATTGACATTCTTTTATCATGTATTTTCTCAGAAGCACTATTTCACACTTAATTAAATGAGAAAATTTGCTTTCACAGTGATCACTATATATGATTTATATAAACTCATTCACCCCTGAAGACACATTTGAACCCTTCCAATTCAAAGGTTGGAATAGTTCATTATAAAATGTCAGGGGTGAATGAGTTAATCACTCTTGTCAATGTTGTTAATTGTTATTAGCAGCCGGTTCTTAGGAAGAAACCCATGTGGACTGGCAGGTGACCTTAATACCTTTTCAGGTCTGATCGGGGAATCGAACCCCTGCATCCTTGTTGAAAGGCGAGTATGTTATCCACTGTGTCACCTGACCACCCTGTTTCTGATTTGTTTTGAACATGGTTTATATAAACTTGTATCATTTCATTTATCACTATTATCAACATTTTATGAAATATAACACCTGTACCCACATACCAGTCTCACTGCTCCACCTTTGCCTCGGTTCTTTTCCAACGTCAGTACCCGGACCTTGTCTGCTCCGTACTTACTGGAGTATAAATGTCCTGTCTAAAAACATATCAATTGTTACTTTGGCAAAGTCAGACAAACACAACACTTTCACTAAAAATTTCATTTTAACAATAGGTGTGAAAACAATCTTTAATTTACTGAAGGAAAAATCAAGACTGACATTATCATATCGTAACATGTTTCCATTTTATTTTGTCATTACAGCCAATTGAAGAAATCATGCTAAAACACTAAATATCATTCACATATATAAGTAGAGTTATCTTAGTGTTATAATAGAGTTACTAGTGTAAAGCTTGGCATCTACCAAATCTATACAACAACAGATAACCATTTGTACAGGAAAACCTTTCACCTTAATATAACAAGAGGCAAAGAAGGCCTGTGTACGTAGTTCAGCTGTTATTAAATGTTGTTGGCAAAAAAACAGTTAAAGCTGGACTGTTAATACATATATATCAACAATAACAATAAGTTTGTGGTCATATTGGATTTTACAATTTATCTGAAAATAATTTGAATTTGGAAAGCTGTTTGAAGTTTTTTTAACACATTTGACCCATTGTGATTTTAAATGTGGGTCAAGGTCAATTATTTGAACAAATCTGATAGCCCAACAAGCTGCATGTCATCTACTTTGACCCTAGGCCTTTTAATTCATTAAAAGATATTTTAAGGATAGAAAAAGTTGATGATAGATACCAGAAAGAGAAACAAGCCATTTGGATTTATATGTCTCGCCTATCCCCCGCTTTGACCATCAATGCACATATCAGAAAAACTAACTTAACCGCAAAAACTTAATGACTTATGTTGATTGAGATGCTGACAAAGTCAATGGACCATGAAAAGGAGGCTGCATCCAGCATTTGGTGCATGGGTTGAGATGTACTACCTAAGATGCATCTATGGTCCAAGTTTGGTTGGTCTAGCACTTATACTTTCAGCGAAACTAACTTAAACCCAAAAACTTAATGTTGTAGAGATGCTGACAAAGTCAATGGACCATGAAAGGAAGGCTGCATCCAGCATTTGATGCATGGGTTGAGATGTACTACCTAAGATGTATCTATGGTCCAAGTTTAATTGGTGTAGCACTTATGCTTTCAGAGAAACTAACTTTAACACAAAAACACTTAAACACAAAAACTTAATGTTGACGCCGCTGTCGCTGGAAAAGCAACACCTAATTGTCCCGCTTCCACTTCTTGACTGCGAGACAAAAACAGGAGATCCAACAGGCCTTAACACTCACATGAATTACATCGACTGATAGTAGCTGTAGGTGACTGATGCCAAATGCAGGAAATTAATATATAAGTATATGTAAATGCATACCGCTGTGGTCTTGTCCTTACTGCCATCATCCACTACCAGTATTTCATAGCTGAAGGACGGTGTCATTTTCTAGAGATAAATACAAATAAAATTTCTTTAATGAATAAGTTATAAGCCACAGGTGCTGGAATCGATTGGCCCCAATCTATGTTACCTCGTAATCTTTTTTTGAAACTGAACATTTCTGTACAGCACCTAACAATGTAAGGTTACTTGCTTGAAAAATATCTTACTCCCCTTTATCTGAAAATGGGGAATTCATGGGGACCTTCTCAATATATGCATGTACAGATTGTGCAGTACAGTAAATGTATGTGTACATATATATAGTAGCCTGGCTGAAGTCCAAGACTATTTTATGAGAAGGGGGGTCAATCATATTCAAGCATATGTGTTATAATCCTTATCACCAGTTTACATAGTGATGTACACAATTTAATAACATAGAGTCAACAGAATAAATCAAAAACAGAGTGACACCTGAATTAACCTCCATCAGAGGGCTTGTGTGATGATACCATACTAGAGACGAGAGAAACCAGTGCTTTTGGGGGTGATATATTCAGTAATGTCGGGTATTACTGAATGACCTTTAAAGTGTCTGTCAGATATGAAATATAAATACTAAAATTTGTGCGACATATATACTAATTACCAGTAGTACAGGCTCACAGGTACTAGGGCCTGCAATGATATAGCGTAGCGGATCGCAATACTTTCTTGTGTATCGTACCAAATTGTTTCACGATACACTAACAGTACTGAAATTATCAATCAATTCTTATCATACTCTAAAAAGGTGTACTACGTATACAGTGGTGAAAGGGTTAATACAAAAATTCAGGAAACCTTGGAACCATTATTTTGTTTGGTCAGCATCGATGAAGAGAACATTAAGAAACTCTTACCTGTCTCTCTTCTAAATAATCTATGGCTTCATTCATCATGGCTGGCACTACAAGAACAAAAAAGTTCAACTTGTTACTTCGAAACATTTTCGAACCATTGAACACACTATTCTGAGGATGATTTATATTCATTTATGGCTGTATCAAATGAAGAATATTGATGGGTGCTCTTACAAATGAAATTAGCACCTGGGGCTCAAGTGAGATATTTATAGAACGCTCTTGTGTCACCAATCAGTGTTTCCAGTTTTTGCGAATGTCAGGACCCAAATCAGATCAAGGCTTGCATTTTACGGTATCTTAAACTTCAAATGAATCATTTTTTGTCAGTATATTAACATTTTATGATGACCTTTGGAATTTAAATAAAAACAGGTATTTCTGTATGGTGGATTTATTCCTATAGTCCAAAGCAGAATGCATAGTTGTCGCACACACCATTTTTTAAAAACACTGACTTTTGAATTTGAAATACGTTTTCTGGTGCTATTTGAGCTTAAAAAATATTCATCTGTAGACAAAAAATGGGGCATGGCTATCTATTCTACGGCTACATGATTGTTATAACTGATCTACAGTCTAACACAATTATTGATTTAAAAGTAATTTTGCAAAAAGTGATCCGGTGGTTTGGGTACTGATCCGATTTGGGTCCTGTACATGTCTCCTTAGTCACAGTTTTGACAGTGGTACAGAGATCATGAAGGAGTAAAATCTGAGTCACAATGGTTCTTGAAACCAAAGTCTGAAACCTTTAGCTATCCTCTTCTAGGTTTACATCAGCATCGCAAAAATGAAAAAAATAATAATATTTAGCAGATATAGGTCAGGGATCAATCTAGATTTTAGGGGAAATTACCCTTTTTCAAATTTGGGTGAAATTAAAATTTTGATACAAGGCTCTAGCGTCATGAAGGTAAAAGATAAATGTTTTGTCCGACATACATCTGTGCAATTATATTTCAATTTTTAAACAATTTTAAGCTTAAAATTAAAGAATTTTTATTTAAATTAAGTGGAGAAAATGTATATATATGCAGTATAATGCATTTTAACTGTTTAATTTTATAGAAAACATATATAGGGGAAATATTTTGAAGAAAAAACAGCTATTTTCTTGTTGAAATAGGGGAATTTTGAAGCACACAGAGGGAATTTCAAAGTACAGGGGAATTTTCTTCTGTAGGGGAAACTACCCCTAAACGGTAGTGAATCAAGTCTAGATTTATCCCTGTAGGTAGTACATATAGACTGGTACATACATCTTTCCTCTTCATTGTAGGCTGGGACCACAATAGTTAAGTCAACACTTGGCGGATCATGGATACTGGGTAACTTTATTTTCTCATTCTTTTTGGGATCTAGGAAGTATTCTTCACTTTCAAATCTTCCAAGATCTGGATAGGCCTCACTTGTTTTATAAAGCACAAACAGCCCCTGTGAATAGAGAGGAAAATAAAGATTAAAGGGTTGAACCAGGCATGTATTATTTTTTTTACATTCAAGGCAGAGAACTGGAACTTGTGTAATTGCTGTCAGGAAATGGTTTGGTTGGGAGGTAGGTGTGTACATCTCCATACTGTACAAAATGAGATCTTCAACCAGACTGAGCTGATCAATTGAATTCCATACTTCCCTAAGTGATGTCATCCAAGTGCACTCTGTTTAATTATGGTCTGTAACCAGAATGACAGGCGATGTTTAACAATATAAATTGGGTGGTTGGGTGGCATATTGAAAAACGCACTCGCCTTTCACCAAGGCGTCCTGGGTTTGATACGCCCAGCGGACGTGAAAAGGTATGAGGTCTACACCTGCCTGACCACTTGGTTTTCTCTGGGTACTCTGGTTTCCTCCCACATTTAGATCTCCCATGCGCCATAATCCAAAAAGAGTGATTTATATAAGTTGTGATAATTTGTTTCAAAATTGTTGTAAAATAAATAAATTGATGTCACTGTGGTACACAAGTTGTGGTCTAACCAGAGACCTAGATATATTACAGAGATTCTCTGTGATATACATACATAGCTGTCAAATCTCTTCATTACGGGGCCCGGGAGACTCACTCATTTTTACCCGAATATACCAACAGGCGTTTCTGAATCAAATGAATACCTATTGGGAGTTATTTTGTTACGTAAAAAGGGAAAGATAAATCGAGCAAAGCAGTTTCAGTCGCGTTCAGGTTTGAGATGTTTATTGACACCTACATGTATGGTAACATACATATCTGGTCTAACATATGCCTGAGCTTTTCATTTATTTTATGCTTATTGGTTTATTGGTTAATTGTCAATGACAATGTTTTAAGCATTGCTTTGCTCCTTGTGGTGCTTCTGAATGTAATCCACTCTGCGTCCATTTGTGTTATATATAACATGGAGTGTTATAACTAGTGGAATTTAACGCAGGTAATAAATTGCTTACTAGGTTAATTTAAAACAGGTATTATAAGATCCATACTCTTTATAGCTAAATGTTTGTACTAGTGTCATACCATGTTTTCACATTGTAATTTAAGGGATTTTGTGTGAGCTAATGGGAGTATTTGGGTAACCCGTGACCAATTTATTGCAAAATATGTGTTGTTACTAGTCGATTGAACAAGGAATAATTTCTCTATATACGAGCTCATCCGATAAAGCCTCTTTAGAATTCGTTGATTAGTACATTGGTACCTACGGTAGGTTAGGCACTGTACGTACAGTTGGCATATTTGGATGGTCATGCAACTAACGGACGTAAATGTGCATCGATTGTCACCGCGTAATATATCTGATAAAAGTGCTATATTGTTCTAGTCACATGTACTTAAGCATAGCAGGGTATATGCTCTATCTGTTGGATTTTACAAAACAACAAATATTATTTGTAAGCCAGGGGGACAAGGACTCCTTTTCTAAAACAGCTGGATGCCGGTTGCGTCAGAAACATTGGAGTTCTCCTTTCACACTGCGTATGTATCGTAAACAAATATAACGTGAACGACATAAATATTAGAAGACATTGGTGTGAATGACTGTCTGCTTACCAGAGCCAATAAAACAACTAAAATCAGCAAGAGAACGCAAACTACAGCCGTTATTGTGCACTCCATGGCTGCACCGTTGCCCTCCCGGAAGTTGTTGTTCTTTTTGAGTCTCTTTGACGCTTCACGTTTGCACACCTACCGGTTCAAGCTTTTTTAGTGCTCTGTGTTATAAAAAGAAAAACATTAACGGAATACGGAATTTAATCAAAATATTTATAAGAACTCGAGTACACTTACCCAATGCACTCATGGATTCATACAGAAGAACAGGTGTTCCTTGGTAGGTGGTGATTATGATTCATGTGACCAATGAAGGGAATGATCTATCTATCTATCACAGTAAAAAAAACTTCATAATAGATACTGTACTCACTACTCGTTCACAGGTTGCATTTTGTTAGCCTGTACTATAGCTAGCATATTTCTGCCATCAAATTATTAAGTTTACATTATGGTACATAACACTACATGAGAAGATAGTTATTGCGTAGAGTCATGTTGTTTTACTTAATTAAAAAAAATGTTGAAATATTGATCATTTTAATTATTAGTATTTATCATTGATGGTCAAATGTATATATACCATACCCAGCATTGTCGTCCAGATAGTTTTGCTGATATATAAGATATAAAGAAGCTTTTAGGCATCACCCAGGTTCTATACACATCATCAACAATTCATGCATGTGTGACACTCAGGAAAGGAATGAGAAATGCATGGCCTTTAAATTAAATTACCAGGATTTGAACATGGGACCCTTCAATACAAAATCTAGACAGAATGCTCTGTCAATTGAGCTACCTGGTCACCAGTAAATGGCCTAGTCCTGTTCCACTACATTCCTCCTTCCTTTTTTCTAAGTCTTTGCCCTAAAGATGACACTACTCTTACAACCCAGGTTTGGGTATCCCCTTAACAAGCATTCACCTAATACTTGTAATAAGGTGTTGGTCACAGGCACTGGTCACTAAAAACATGGCCAGATCGGAATTCAAATTAACCTGTGACCACACAAACCTTGAATGGACATGCTACCAATTGAATCACCTTGTTGCCGGAGACAACCCCAAGTCCCATTCCGCTACACCTGTATATGTACATGCATGTCCAATTTGCCCGATATGTGTTTGGCATGTTGTGTAGTAGGACAAGGAATAGTGCCATCGCTGGGGCTTGGACCCAAGACTCTTAGCTCTCCAGCCCGATGCTCTATTGCTGAGCTAAAGGGAAATTCCATACAGCCGACGCTTGTAAGGCAACCTAATCAATGCACATATTTTACAGTAGGGCCCAGTAAATGTTATAAAGATATGCGTTGTGTATAGTGTCAAAGTCACCTTACTACATGTAGTTTGGGATAGAGGGAATTTCTATTAACGAAGCATGCACATGCAGCCCTAGAGTGTCTGTCTATAAAGTCTGGTATCACAAGTTCGAACTCCAGTGAACAAACATATTCCTTTTTACAACCTAGCGATTCTTCCTGTGATACAAACTGGTGCCATTGACCCCACTGTTCAAGTAATTTTAGTGGAGAACCTTTGGTGGAGAGCAAAAGAACCTAGGTTGTGGTTGTCTTCGAGTGTGAAGACTTGGAAAAATAGGGAAGTAGTGTAAAAAATGTAAACTGTACATTATAAGTGTTGAAGTTGCCTTTCATACTAGCTGCAGTTAGAGGACATTTCCCTTTAGCTCAGCTGTAGAGCCTCTCACTTGAAAGTATGTTATCACAGGTTTTAACTTCTATGACTCCAATGAATGCTTGTTGCATTCTTTTTACTACTTCCTTCATATTACATCTGATCCATGAGGTGTCTAGATTTTTTAATGGGTAATTCCAGTGGCGTTTTTGTATTGTCTGGTGGGCTTAATATAAAGGGTTTGAGGTATGTCGATAGTTTGGTGTGGTTTTATAGGGTTTAACGTCCTATCAACTGCGCATGCTAAGGTCATTTTAAGAACGTACCTCAATGTGTGTTGATAGTTATAGGTTTGTTTCCTGGGCCCTATTTTAGAGATGTTTAGGTATTGTATGAAGGGCCTTTTATAGAGGTTTTCAGGTAATGTCTGGTGGGCTCTATATAGAAGCGCTTAGGTGTGTCTGGTGGGCCATATATAGAGGTTTTAGGGTAATGTCTGGTGGGCTCTATATAAAAGCGTTTAGGTGTGTCTGGTGGGCCATATATAGAGGTTTTAGGGTAATGTCTGGTGAGCTCGATATAGAAGCGTTTAGGTGTGTCTGGTGGGCCCTATATAGAGGTGTACAGGTATATCTGGTGGCCCTACATAGAGGTGTTAAGGTGTGTCTGGTGGGCCATATATAGAGGTTTTAGGGTAATGTCTGGTGGACTCTATATAGCAGCGTTTAGGTGTTGTCAGGTGGGCTATATGTAGAGGTGTTGAGGATTGTCTTACAGGCTTTATATTAGAGATGTTTAGATGTTGTTTGGTGTGCTATACTTTATAATAGAAGTGTTAAGGTATTGTCCAGTGGGGTATATATAGAGGTGTACAGGTAATGTCTGATGGGCCTTTTTTTTAGAGGTGTTCAGGTATATCAGGCATTGTGTGGCCGGCCCTATATAGAGGCGTTTCGATATTGTGTGGTGAGCCATTTATAGAGGTGTTAGGTATTGCCTGGTGGGCCCTATATAGACGTGTACAGGTATATCTTGTGGGCCCTATATAGAGTTGTACAGGTATATCTAGTGGGCCCTATTTATAGGTGTACAGGTATATCTGGTGGGCCCTATATAGAGTTGTACAGGTATATCTTGTGGGCGCTATATAGAGGTGTACAGGTATATCTGGTGGGCCCTATATAGAGGTGTACAGGTTTATCTGGTGGGCCCTATATAGAGGTGTACAGGTATATCTGGTGGGCCCTATATAGAGGTGTACAGGTATATCTTGTGGGCCCTATATAGAGTTGTACAGGTATATCTGGTGGGCCCTATATAGAGGTGTACAGGTTTATCTGGTGAGCCCTATATAGAGTTGTACAGGTATATCTTGTGGGCCCTATATAGAGGTGTACAGGTTTATCTGGTGGGCCCTATATAGAGGTGAACAGGTTTATCTGGTGGGCCCTATATAGAGGTGTACAGGTATATCTGGTGGGCCCTATATAGAGTTGTACAGGTATATCTGGTGGGCCCTATATAGAGGTGTTTAGGTATATCTGGTGGGCCGTATATAAAAGTTTTAGGTAATGTGTGGTAGGCCCTTTATAGAGGTATTTAGATATTGCCCGATGTGCTATAAACAGATAGTTGTTACATATTGTGTGGTCAATGGTGGGCCCTATATAGAGATGTTAAGATATTGCCTGATTGGCTAAATATAGGTGGTCATCAGGCATTGTGTGGCCGGCCCTATATAGAGGCGTTTCGATATTGTGTGGTGAGCCATTTATAGAGGTGTTAGGTATTGCCTGGTGGGCTATAAATAGAGGCGTTTGGTATTGTGTGTTGGGCTCTTTATAAAGGCGTTTGGATATTGTATGGTAGGCCCTTTATAGAGGTGTTTAGGTATTGTCGTTTGGGCCCTATGTAGAAGTCATAGGTACGACTGATGGGTCCTAAAATAAGTATTTAGGTATTGCCTGATGGGGCCTTAAATAGGTGTTTAGAAATGGTGTTGTGGGCCACATATAGAGGAGATTCAATAGTCTTTTGTCCAATATGGGCCCTAGGTATGAGTCATAGGCATGACTGGTGGGCCCTATATTTAGTTGTTGTCTGATGCAGGGTCCAATATAGAAGTTATAGATATATCTGGTGGGCTCTATATAGAGTGTTTAGATATTGTTTGGTTTGCCAAATACAGAAGTGTTTAGGAATATCAGGTAGGCATTATATATAGGTATTATAGGCGCCCTAAAGAGAAGTATATTGGTGTCTGGGGGACTAAATAGAGCTTTGTTTGTCTGATGGGGTTTAACAGTTTGGTTTGGTTTAGTATTGTTCAACGTCCTATCAACAGCTATGGTCATTTAAGGATGGCTTCCCCTGTGTGCAAGATGCATCGTGTAATGTATGCGTGTGTTTTGGGAGGCTGCAATATGTTCATGTTTGTGTCCTTGTGATAGCGCGAAACTGAAGCTGACTTTATAGTGCTGAGTCAGTGCTGAAACATACTGTCGAAGACACCCCACCTGGTCACATTATACTGACAACGGACGAACCACAGGTGCTAAGGTATCCAATAGGCAATACAGAGGTATTTGTCTTTGACCAGTTTGGATATTTATGTAAAGCTGTTAAATGACCTTTACAGAGATGCATTGTTATTTCTGGTTTGCCCTTGGAGGTATATACATATAGGTTTGTCTGGTGGATTTATTTTTTTCATTTATCGATCCCCATACTTCTACCAAAAATCTTTTTTTTCTTTCTGGCAGGACTATAGCTCTGATAAATGATTTCTGAAAAGAACACGTATGTTGCAAAGATTTATGGAAAATTAACAAATACAATGTATGAAATAAAAAATCAACAAGTGTTCCAAGTATAAAAATGCAATGGGGCTCGATCAGAACTAAAACCCTAAACCTGGTCAACATTAGTATCCTATCAAGCTTGTTATTAAAGGTAAGGTCTAAATAACAAAAAGCTACAGTGAAGATCTGTAGTGTTTTCCCTGCCAACACAGACAGGAATCCACAAAAGCTTTGTTTGTAGTTACCACCACTCCCCCCTTAATTTTGTTTTGTACGTTACTGTACAATGACCGAGTCAAGATTCTTAAGTGGACTGGGTAGCTCAGTTCGGACCGGTTGAATGTAGTATTCTGAATAATCTGAGATCCAGGGATTAAACACTTCTAGCCCATTGCTTTTACACTCAAAAAGCTATTGCTAATTTATCTTTTTTCATACAAGGTAGAGTTTTTATTTCAGAAATGAACTATCAAAGCTACATTCATGCTAGCAAAAACAAGTTTCCAATTCATAGTTACCTTTTTGGCAGAGTTTCAGGTATCCTTCAATTTCCTATTTTAGTATACATAATGCTTTTATGCAACATTTCCCTACAGAAATATTACATTTGGAGGTGTCGCCTTTATAAAATGAATTTGCTTAATATACCAAGTACCAAGTTAAGGTATATATATAAAAGTCAATTCAAGACCTTGTTGGATATATCACCAAACTTACTTCACATATGTATCGGCACAATAAATCATTTATAACCAAATTGAGGGTGATATTTACCCAGGAGCATGCTAAGATGAAGGGCTATCAAGGTTGTTAAAATGGATGACCTTGACCCACTTTCAATATCACTGGGACCAAATTTGTTAACACTTTGGGGGAAAAAAAATATGTGTATGCAAAGAATTTTGTCATATCAAAATGTTGTTAAGTTAAAGAAGTTAAGAACTTTGTGATACCAGGGCCAAAACTTTACACTACCTCTGTTTAAATACAGTTTGTATTCAGATTGAGAGTGTCACCACTTTTCTACTGTATACAAGCATTGAGAAGGTATTTTTTCTATATTCATACAAAAACAGTTATAGATTGAGATCACTTGCTAAAGGGAAACAACTCCTAGTCAGAAAAGGAACTCTTATTCATTGGAGATATTACACAGAGTGTGAGACTCTCTACCTTAAGATAAAACCACAAACAAACATCGTCTTTTATACCTTTTATTTACAAAGCTGACTGCTGTAAATGATATATATTTAACATCCAAATCCTGTATTTACTAGCTTGATTGAATGTCCTCTCAATGGTGAAATTTTGAGTGGTCCTTGTTCATTGAAATGTCAAATGTCCTCTAGTCTTAGGATCATCACACACCTAACACCAGCAAATACACACACTAAACCATCCACCAGCAGCCAATGTTAGCTAGCCTTCGTCACTACATCCTCTGCAAAGAGAAAATATAAGATCTAATTAAGTTTACTGTACAAGACATTAAATACATAACAATGTTTATGATTTGCTTAGAAACAAACAAGCGATTGATATGTATCTTGATAGGTTTTAAGATCCCTATTTATCAATGATTAATGTCCCTCAGAAATAATGATAAAACTCTCCAATCCTAAGTATTATCGAAGCAGTTTTTAAAAGTGTAGTTGCCTTTGTGTTATTAAGAGTAATCTAAAGACCAATTGAAAAGGAATTATCGGAAACAACATAATTATTCTTCGCATATAATTATGATAGTAGTGTTCACCAAGTTCTACAATGTACAGAAATAATTTTGCATTATATGTTTTATTTGAAATTACACAAAATACAGTACAGTTCCAACCAGTAACAAAGCCTGTCAGGCATGCAAGCCGCAACTAAATGGAATCCCCTCCCCTTCCCTACCACACTGACAAATACACACTCAGAACACAGCGACATGCGAACCAATGTGGTACACTGTACATATTTGATGCAAGACCATATATTATCCAAAGGTTCAACAAGTCTGACTTATATGGCATCATATTAGACATATAATTCAGTATTGAGGATTCTTTTGTCTTGATAGATGCTATATATCCTTGACATTTCCCAGTGGCAAGTGGCTTTGTTGCACTATATTCTTGGAATGGCTTTGTAACATTAGACTAACTCGATTTTGCTATTTTGCTATCCAAGACACGGCCAATTGAATTTGACAAGTTGTTTAAATATAGAATATGCCAAATTTATACATGTATTTTCATCAGACATATCTGATAACCATTTTAAAAACAAACACAAAGGAAAGAAAAGAAAACTTTGATAAGTTCATTCTAAAACTGAATATCACAACCTGTTATGGCTCTATATCTAGATCAGATAAATGGTATGCCAACCTCATATTCCTGAAAACCGAAGCGATATAAACATCATGACTTTCAGTTTCAGTTGCCCATTGACAATCGATACAATACCATCTTCAGGGCTTTCAGTTGCCTGTTGACATGAAGTTGACAATAAGCAATTTCAAAAGTCAAATGTCTTTTTTTTTGAGAAATACAAAGGGTCAAGTTAGCTTGTCCTTTCATACCCTCAGACTAGAGGTAACGCCTAGGCCTATGCACCCTTATTGTTGAGCCCTGAATATACCTGCAAAACTACTTGGTATAACAACACACCATCAATTATTAATTGCCATAACACTACCTACAAATATGGTGAAAAGCACCACAGGTAAACTATTTGTGATAAGCAACTACTTGTCACACCTGTATATATATATAGGTATAATACTTATAGTAATAGCACACCAGGCATTAACATACTGCCAATATCTGCTATACCATAATCAGTGTTTCTCCCCCATTAATTTGGGATCGGGTCTTTTTTGTCTCCTTTTGAGAAGAAATTATTCCAATGATGAATGGAAAAAGAATTTTTTGAAGTAAACTACAAATTTTGGGAATAAGGCATAAATATGAAATAGTTTCAAATGGGAATAGGGCCCATTTCTGGCCCCAAAAAGTCCCAAGAAAAAACACTGCATATGTACCGGTATGTAATTTATCATGAATAAAATAGAAAGCTGGAATAACAACATGCCACTCGATTCAAGCTGGAAGGAAAATCTTCATATTGAATGATTGATGTCAAATATTTCAATGTATCTACCAGGAATTGGTTAATTTTCAAAGGGATCAGAACACTTTGGAGCTACTTTTTCAATCTTTGACATGCAATGAACAAATAACGAGAGCAGGGGAATTGCAATGCAACTCTGACCCACCATCCAGAGTAAAGGTGGCTGTTGACATCATGAGCTAATTAATCATATTGCCATTTCCATCTGAAAGAAGCAAATATACCTTTGAATCTGGTGATAGGGTTGATGTCTTATGGGAAAGTTTTGACAAAATATTTCCAGTTATTAATTTATTTTTACATCAAAATATACATTAAATTTCTATTATGAATAGTTCAACCTAGACCTACACGACTTTTAAACCAATCTTATGGCATGCACGTTTGGATGGATACAACATTTCTGTGCATAGTAACAGTACTTTCTTTCTCAGTATACTTAGGCATGGGCTTATTACCAGTAAAATAAGGTAGTATTCTGTTATTTTTGTCAAAATTGTGTGTTGTTTCTTAGGAAACTTCTAAAGGAATAGAGTTCCATCACTTTTGTTCTATAAACTGGCATGAGATGGAGAAGTTTTTATTTTATTTTGGGTTTTTTTTTGTTTAAAAAAAGAAAGAAAATATAATGAAAACAATTTCTCTCATCTTTGGTTTAGTAAATTAAATGGGCAAGCAACTATGAGTAAAATTAAATAAACAACTTTAATTCTTCTTTGTTGGCAATAAAACACAATGTACTGGGACTCTCAACCTTAATTTTGTATTGTTACTTTTTATTTACACGAAATATTTCTGTGCCAGAACTAAATTTCATAATAAATAAAAGTGTCCCTGCAGCTTATTTAATAACAGGTAAAATTATTTGCTCTCTCCATGAATAGTTTGAAAAATACTAAAATTGTCTCAATTAGCAAGAGGAAAGAGAAAATTGCAAAGGATGCTAGCAGATGTGAAATCTAATAAAAAAATGTTCCAGTATTTATATTAAAATACAATTATCATTATCGTCGGAAACCCACATTCGATTGTACTTGCGTTTAGAACAATCAAACGTGGGTTTCCGATGATGAATTATCATTAAAATAGTTTTTTAAACTACAATTATTAATGAAAATTTCTGTATCACATTATTATATTGATGAATAGATCTTGATTCACCAGGAATATTAAACTGTTTAATGTTTGATACATACTGATAGGTTTTCCTCCCTCCCACTTTGTCACTTTCATGATCGACTCTCCTTTTTTCGACAATTGCTGCTGGATTTCTGGTTTCAGTGCGTTCCTCACAGCCTGGGCACATATGCCAGAGTACTGAATGTAGCTGGTAAACAGACAAATTTCACATTAAGGGAGTTTCCTTTTGCTATAGTTCGAGTTATCATGAAAAAAATATAGAAAAATAACTTGCTAACTCCAAATTGATACCAAGCTCCTAAGCATTTTGCACCCTTATTTGTTTGAGTGTCGCTGGGATTTCCTAGTGAGTAGTTTTGTAAAATGCGAAAAGAGTTGTAAAATGGGATAGTTTACTCTCAAAAACAAACCCTGAGAAATCACTGTTTGAATTAAGTTGCAACCAATTTGATGCATGCTTTATTATATATATTGTGCAGTAAAATTTTTAGTAGACTTCATGAAACACAGAAAACCGTCAAATTTCAGTTGGTTGAACAGTGTTCTGTCCCTGACCACGGGATGACATGCTAAATCCCTTGTGGGTAGTGCCAAACACATGGCATGTATACACTGTTCGACGTTACTACGGTCTCCATTCAGATTTCTGATCGTCGGCCTGATCAGCTCGAAACTGAGCTTGGATGTGCGACATGGTAATGTTTGGGATTGCACAATCATACAAGTTTGTTACATTATGCCCCCTGTGATATTTTTATATGTGCTGTCATAAGAATAGACCTTTAGAGCTAATATTTCACGTGACATATCTACGACAAAAAATAAAGATTCTTGTATCATACATCAAATTAAAGTAAAGAAAAAATATTTTCCGGTCGATCTAGACTGCTCCCGGCATGACATTATACATGGTTAGACAAAATCACATGATTTCTGGAACAGGATCATTACTAGGGGGACGGAGTTAGCAACCTTCAGTATATTCTGCATTTATGTATTGACCGACGAGGCTACAGACTACAGTAGTACCAGCGGCCGAAACCTGTTATAAAGTAACAAATTTAGAACAAAATGATTCCAACTAAACCCTAGTTCGGGTTAAGTAAGGCAGAGGTCTCAGCAGGGGGGGGGGGGGGGGGGGGGGGGGGGGGGGGGGGGGGCGCACATTGTGTTATGATGACTCGAGCAATATATATTATTGGCACACTGACTGAATGATTAGCATGCAAAACAAAATAACATTTGCTTTAAACTGGTATATCACAGTAAGTTTTAAAGTGAAAAACTGACGACATAATGTCAGAAAGAAATGAAAAGCATGTTTGACCTTGTTGCTGACTAAGTAAACCGGAGACTTATTTTCATATTAGCCGATATTGTGACATTTCTTACATAGTTTGAACATCAACATTGATCTCAGACTAAAGCATAATTTCCTGTTATGTACCTTATGCCAACCGCTCTCCAAGCAGACGACATAGTGGAATTATTTCAACGCCGGTTCGGTCAAGTCTACAGCGATGGCTTCTAAAGAAAGGTCAAGGTTACCAAAGCATGTTCTAAACGTCGTGTCGGTTAAATCCGGATTTCCCCGGTGTCAAACTAGCGATATCTTGGCCCTTGATCATTTGCTTACATAAATTAATCGGGACAGAACTACAACAGTGTACTGATTTTTATATTTTTTGTTTATATTTTTCTTGTTTGGTTTTATTTGTTTTTTGTATTGTTATTTTTTTCGTTTATATTTTTATTTGTTTGTTTTTCTGGTTATAATAATAATAAAACCCCATTATAGGCCTAATTATTTATTTTTGATGTTTCGGTTGTGTGTGTGTGTGTGTTTTAAAAATAACAGGAGAGGGTTATCAGAAGAGAGGCAATATATTGACAAACAATTAATAATTAACCGCAGCTCCAACTCGTAATAGATAACTATAGAAACGATATGCAAGGATATGTAAATTGTAAACTCTTTTCCGAGGTTACAAAAATACCTGTATTTTTTCTGTTAACTTGTTTGTGTTCCTGTCATTTTTGTGTAAATAACTTTTCGAGACTGTCAATAACTTGGAATTCTGTTGAAATTTATAATTTTGCTAAGTTTGAAATGAAAATGTCATATATTCCGAAAATGGTTCCGAATTATTTACAATAAGGGAATTTCTAAAAATGGAATATTGTAGTAGTACAGTAAAAGCACTTTATTTCGTTGTGGTTAATTTTCCGGCGTTGTTTACGTACGGGGACAAGTTCGTTGGGATTTAATTTTGGGAATCAGTATTTTTAAAATGAAATATTTACACATTACTAATCATTCTCGATATGCCAGGGGTTACGCTCACTTTCGCTCTCTGCACACATGGAATATGTCAGGACAAAATCGAAGGCTCGGCGTGTGCCAGCTTGTGGATGAGACCAGAAGACTAGTTTGCTCCTTTGGTGTACATCAAAAGATTATGGCGGTCGCGTAACAGTAAAACTAACTGTCTTTCAAATCGAAGTCGGGTGTCGCTCTGTAGCCTTCAAAGGAAATATGTCAGCCTGGCGACTAGTTAGTTTATTTTAACTAAGACCAATCAAGTAGCCACTGAGCCGTGTACCTTCGATTTTGCTATGACATAGTTCAGGGGAGCAGAAAGCGATAGTGAGCGTAAACACTGGATTATCGAGGCTTACATCCGCGAATATGTCATAGCAAAATTGAAGGCTCGGTGTGTACCACCTTGTTCCTTTGATTTACATCAAAAGAATCTCGCGGTCACGTAACGGTAAAAAATGACAGGCTTTGAAGTCGGGCGTCTCTCCTTTGTAATCTATCAGTCTAGCGATCGGTCATATTTTTACCCGAGACCAATCAAACATCTGTCTTCGTGCCTTCAAATTTGCTATGAAATATTCCAGGGGTGCAGAGAGCGAAAGTGTGCGTAACCCCTGGATATCGAGGATGCGAGGATTAGTGAATGATCGATATTTATAACAGTTTTGACACTGATCGCATGCATGTGTATGGGTTCAAGAAATATAATAAAATGAAGTCAAAGGCGTACAATGTGATGGGTGTGCTCTATAAATGTAAGTCATGAAAGCGCAAATGAGAAGTTATTGTTTTGTAGTCCTGCGGAGAAAACGGACACGTATTCAATTTCTCCATACCCCTCCCCCCGACTGATGGAGCAATGTAATTTTATTCATTACTTTGTTTTTCAGTGGTAACCCAAAACGTTTCCAGAGCAACGAGGTTACTCGCATGGGAGAGGGTGACGCGCGTGGGGCAGGCCCCGTCCCTCGGAGGGATTTAGCAGGACCTGTGGAGGATATAGAGACAGAAGGACAGAAACGACTCAAGGAACTCCTACAGAAACAACTCCGCACCAGTCTCACAAGACAGTATGTATTACCGGTGATCTAGACAATATTTTATTTTTTGAAAGATAAAAATCGACACGTTTATTTCTTAGCCTTTCTAAGAGATTCCAAACTGTTTATACATGAAATTAAATTTAAAAGAAGCTCCCAAAATGCAATTTAAGATTACTCGAACAACTACATGCGGTAATTTCGACTACTTAAAGTATAAATTCTACGCGTTGAGGCACAGGTTAATTATACAACACCGCCTGTTTTGCAGTATACAAAACTCGTAAGCCACGGTACAGCTTACAACTCATTGCGGTCGGATTTTGAAAGAATTCAAATTGCACTAAAGTGACCACAGCTGGCGTACCGTCCTTAAATTATCTATGTCAAAAACAAACAAAAAGAAAAAATCCAAAAATATCACAATAATGAATTGTCACTTGAGTATACGAAGATAAATTCTAAAGTGTACATAAACCTACCATACTAATTTGATTCAAAACCTACCATACTAATTTGATTCAAATTGGATAACTATTAGCGTATAAAATAAAACAATGTTGGAGACAAGTCATAGTACTTAAAGTTTTTATTACGTCACGTGATAAAATCTCGGACACTCATTGGCTGATTTAACAAGTTCATATTAAGTCCAGTTTTTGACAAAACTTAACAACTGTCTTATTTACTTGACAGCACGATGCCATTTTTTAAATTTCTGCATCTTCTTAAGACAATAGTTGCTGATTGGAAAAGTGATGTGTTATTTACAACGACTATCTCGGCCAATTCACGGAAAGGTCTGTTCGGTCAATTGAACACAACGAATATTTAATTGCAGGAAAACTAAGCATAGTAATGAAGAAGGTATTTTCCTGATGTATTACCATTTGTGTCATGCTATGATCATACGCATTTTTGAATATCCATTTCCAGATTAATTTGAGCAGTCAAAATGTTTAGAGGAAAGTAGATTTCTAAATCGATTCAGGTGTTTTCATCCTTCTCAAAACAAATCTTCTTTCTGTTAACTCTGAATGGAGATTAAGAGAAGCTTGCTGCTTGTGACTGTACTTCCATTTTTTACAGAATCTTTTTTTTACAGAATATTCTTTTTACTTTCTCATCCTATGAAGGCAATTTGCCTACTTCATTGAACCATGTTTGAAGCCCAGGTTTCCGGTTCATGTAAACACTTCCACATAGTTGAAAATAGAAAGCTTAATTTGATCCTAACACATATTCAAAGGTTATGTTTATTGAAATTTAAATTTCGATGAACAAAATCCATATAATAAATGTTGCACATACGGAGTACATTTATAAAGTCGCAGCTGTTAGTTGTTGAAGAACACTTTTATACCCGTATTCCGTCTTTGCGTATTGCAGAGTTATCTTCCCTTAGGAACAGGTATTGATTGTTACGTCACTTGTTTGTGAGAGTAACGTCATCATTTTTTGAGAAAACGACGTAATTTTCTCGCACAAACCAATGACGTAACAATCAATACCTGCTCCCAAGAGAAGATAACTCTGCAATACGCAAAGACGGAATATTCGATTTGAATGGATGTTACCTTGAACGGGCCTTGCGAACGGCAGAGCAAACATAGAATAGTTTTGAATGAAATAGGAGCGTTGATGTATTTAGTTCGATTCATCCAATTTGACACTGTCCAATTTAGATCGCATTCTTCAGTTTCTTTCAGAAGAAGCCAGCATGTACTATCTTCATATCGCTCCGCTTGTTTCGATCTAATCACAACGGGGCATTGCAGAATGCTGACGGCTATCTTACAATCAATTTTTGTTCCATCGCCATGTAAACAATAATTTCCGTAGCAATAACGCATTTACCTTTTGTAATTAATTCAGGTTTCTTGTTCAAATTGTGTATCATTTGAAAGAAAATTCATTTATAGAGGTCACACAACTGGCTGTGGTCTGCAACCTCGACCTAGTCTTACATCTTGCAAACTTTCCTCTCCAGACAAATTGCTCAGGGCCGGAATTTTGTGGGCGGTGCTCTCTTCAAATCCGCCACCGACGACCTTTCTGGAGTGACGTCATTGGCCAAGTTCCAGACGGTAGGGGAAAAAGACGCTTATATACACGAGCTGAAGCAGTGTGGTCTGACGGAGGAGGAAGTCATTCTCAAGTTACAGACAGACAACCTGATAGACAAACAGGTGAGTGCATGTTGCGAAAATTATTCAATTGGTGGCGATTCTCAATTTATGTTTCAGGGTGGGGTAAACATTTGTTGTTAGTTTCATAACATTCTGTACAGAATATAATCTTATAATATCAGCAGTCAGATGCAGGTCGTGTAACTCGAAGAAGATGATTACCAGGACAATTTATGTGGAAGAGGGCCTAGTTAGTTGTAAGAACTTCTGCCCATTTAATGTCAATATAATATGTTTTAATGAATTACTATTTGTATGATTGCAATGTAGTCCCACTGCACACAGTGGCTGTCAAAGATTACGTTTGGGTAGGGGACACGTCAGATAAATGTTCAAGTTAGGAGAAAGACCAATTCAAAGTAAATTTCACTGTTCGGTTAGTTTCATGTTTTCTGGCGAATTATAAATTATCTTTATTCTAGTGGTAAATTTATCGAATTGAATTATTCGCGAGGATTTGTATTCAGGAGATATACTGACATATTGTATATAAAGGTTAAGAATTTTCGAAATAGTTTTATATGTTCAATCCTCGCGAAACCTGTAGATGTCTCGAAATGTTGTGAATCACAGTTAATACCAAGACAAACTTTTGTTTTGACTCAACAGAATGAGCGGAAGAGAAGATACGGCGCGGACACATCTTTCTATAGAGATAGACTGGAGGTGATCGAAGATAAAATTAGACGAAGGAACGATAGTTTGTCCAAACCAGATACGTTCTGTGATCAGAAGGTGCTTAGTCGTCATGAGATGGATCTGGAGCGCGCTCTAGTGAAGGATGACACGGCGTCACGAAACCTCTCTACATCTCTCATCACACAGGCCGAAAACAAACTACATCCTCATCCGGATGACCCTATGAACCACCTCCCCGAGATCTTAGCTTCTGTCACAAAATACAAACTGCACAGACGTGGACGACAGAAGGGGCAGGATTCGGAAGTAGAATTGGATGAATGCAGTTTTCCAAAAGACAGACAGTTTTATGAACAGGAAGATTATGTTTCTGAGTCAGATAACGGACATACATGTGATCGTTTATCAGAGAAGTTGGAAACACGTATCGGAGAAAAGAACACACCAATAGAAACAATGGCGAAAGAAGTAAAAGAGGATTATACCTCAGCACGTGACGGTACAAGTGATATTGATAAAGCGAATTCGTTGTGTAGTAACAGTAGGGAACGGCATGGTCACGTAGAATGGGTGGCAGAGGAATACATCGTGAAGAACCGACTCACTCCTGAGGAGATAAGACAAATTCCAAGATTTGAGAACTATTCTCCCGGTCTACAAAGCAAGGTATATGTGAATGAATTTGTTTCCGTCAATTTACCTCACATCTTCAATGTATTTCATTTTCATAAAGTGCACACAAATACTAATTTGAAATGGACACTCTATATTCGTTGTTTATACTCATTTGCTTTATCATAATTAAGAAGTATATCTATGAATGTGAATGTTGTTTGTTAAATGTTTGGTAAAATTCATTAAGTTATACATTTGCTACACAAACATATGTTATGGGTGATATCCGGTCATCCGGTTTTGGTCGTGTAGATGCCGTAAGGTAATGCAAGTTTACGACTTGATTACTTTGCTTTTAGATTTCCCTCTTCATTTGTTATTGAATACAGTTACTGGTAGTTGTAATACTAGTATGTATATTACATACAGGTCTCAAAAGTAATAACGCGAGTATGATATAATATTGGTACTGGATCCGAACAACTTAAATAGATATATGGTAATAACGACAGTGCAGACAAAGGAATTTGTCAAATGTTCAGGGCAGTCGCCCCGCCCCCAGTTTGTCAAAAAGTGTGGATGGATCGCCCTGAAAATGTGAAATGTGACAAGTTCATTTGCCTGCACTGTCATCATTATATCTATAAATTCTGATTTATGGGAGACATTTTTATTCTTGTGTAACCCTCTGTGATGAACGTGTTTTACATTGTCGTGTAATGTAACATGTGATACACACTTTGCGATTTTGTTTTGATGTCCTCTCGACACAATGCTTGCCTGTAATAAATGAATACTTTTCATAAGATTTGATGTAATTTCGAACAGGGTATTGTTCCCCGATGATTATATTACTTATAATTAGTCTTTTGTGATTGTAACAGAATAACGATATTATATGTATAATTAAATAATCTTTATTATTCGCGGCGTATAAAATAACACGAAATTTCGAGGTAATACGATGGCTTGACTTATGTCCTCAGGTGCTGTATATTAAAAACCTGTCCAATAAGGTGACCGAAGAGGACCTAGTGGCACTGTTTATCAGGTTTCAGAGCGAAAATGAGGACAAGCTTGTCTTCCGATTGCTGACAGGGCGGATGAAGGGACAGGCGTTCGTCACGTTTCCAAGTAAGCGTAATCCCATTAAATGTGATTCTAAATCGGATGATCCCAGTAAGTGTGATGCGCAAGTATGTGTGATCACAGTAAGTGTGATTACAGTATGGTGATCACAGTAAGTGTGATGCCAGTATGGGTGGTCCCAGTAAGTGTAATGCCAGTATGGGTGGTCCCAGTAAGTGTTATTCCAGTTTGGGTGGTCCCAGTAAGTGTGATGCCAGTATGGGTGGTCCCAGTAAGTGTAATGCCAGTATGGGTGGTCCCAGTAAGTGTGATTCCAGTATGGGTGATCCCAGTAAGTGTGATGCCAGTATAGGTGATCCCAGTAAGTGTGATTCCAGTATGGGTAGGTATTCAGTGTTTGAAACCGGTAGATATGTTCAATGTTGTATTGAATCTGTGGCTGCCACAACAATAGCCATACATACAGTAGATCATAAGGAGTACCTTACCTTAACATGTCTATCCAGAATAGTCCATCAATAAAAGATATATACAGCATACTTTACGAAATAATAATAATTTTGACTGTGTCAGTTAACTGATGGTCTGTTTGAAAGTTTAATAAATAAGCATTGATACGATTTGGCCATTAGTGCCTTTTTATACATCGTATAAAGTTACGCTTGCGTTCCTTAACAGCTGGTCATATTCTCTTGTATCTTGTATCCACAATCAGTCATTTCTTAGCTTATTTTGTTGCCCTAGTGTTGTTGATTTGAACTCGAATAACGGTTCTGTTGACACCTTTTTGTCTTTGTAGTTGAGTAACTTCAGCATAAATCACGAGTTACAACCATCAACGTGTTGTTTATCTTAGCTTAACGCTGTGGGTGTCATTTGTTTTTTTAGGTGCCGAAAAAGCCATGTTCGCAATGCAGCTAGTCCATGGTCTCAAATACAAAGGCAAACCAATGATCATCCAGTTTGGACGAAGTTCGAAACAAATATGTTGATGTCTTCTGGCGTGTTTCGCTTATATGTCTGTGTGATATACAATTATACATATCCGGTTTATTTCATGAACTAAACAATCGCAAAAGTGTTTTTTAGTAAAGACTTAATTTCTTTACTGAATGAAAGCCTATTTTATACGATTATTGAAACAGGTCCAGAAATTAAAATACTGATTATTTTATATGTAATGTCGGAAGTGTATATATTTAAAAACTTAATCAATGTATTGAAATATTCGTCATTGTCCAGTCGCAATGAAACAATAATACAATGTTTTGAAAAAAAGGACAATTTAAATTACTGATCAATAACTCAAGAATGAAATCAACCACTACATACAAGCAGCAGTATAATGCTACACTCTAACTAACTCAGGAGATCACACATTTTTTCCAGATCCCTTGTTTTATAAACTGCTTTTAAAACACCTCTTGCAATTGTTTTCATGTTACTGAATCTGCTATTAGAGACTGCTCTCAAAGTGATCTTGATATAGGTTTGACTGTATTTGATATGTGGCTTGATACCTACATGCATGCATGTACTGCTATTCCTGCCGTATTAGACACAAACGCCGAAGTTACTGACTACTGTACAATAGTACATGTATTTTACAAATTCCGAAAGACAATTTAACACACTGGCATATGATAACAACAAATAATGTGTCTTGGATATACTTTATTATAGTATTACACAATCCTCCTTTCACACTCGATAATAAACAGGTTTATGTGCATGTTAACTTATTCATCCCTGACATTGTATAAAGAACTATTCTAACCTTTGAATGGGAAGAGTAAAAGTGTGTCTTCAGGCCTAAGGATGAATGAGTCAACTAGACACAAAAAACCAATCTTCAACAACAAAAACAAAAAACAGCAACACCTTCAGTGTTTGATACCATTATCACAGGTATAATATCGGTCAGTGTAACGGCACACGATCTACGATACTTCTGACATAGATATATGTCAGAATAACATCAATTAAAACATACAATATGCTATTGAGAAATAAATTACAATCAGCACTACACGTGATTACATGTCCGTGGACTATTTGAAATGTGTAATATCCTACACTAAAATCTCGAAAATTGTCACGGAAAATATAGATCTTAACGTCTCTACAAAAAGTATTGGAATTCCCCTTGTCTTGTCAAGTGATTTGCTGTGAATAATCATGAAATATATCAACACATCAAATTGTCACTTGAAGTGGTATGATAGTCGAACGGCGACTATGCCAACATCATATTTACAGTCTTTAAAATATGTCAAACGTTGCTTATATTTTAAAGTGCAATCAAATTATGACGAGCCTGAAAGTTAAACATACACTTCTATAACTACCCAAAACATGGCACGACTAACTTCGAGATTTAAGGGTTATATTTATTTAAAATTGCGTGAATATGTTTTGATTTTATGTGAATTCGATTATCTTGACCTTGTGAGATATACAAAATATTAACACGTTTCGATGTTCATCATCAGAATTGGGCGAACAATGTATCTTTCAATCAAAACGAAAATAGGTTCATACATTTGTTTGTATAACATCATATAGTGAGTAAATGGCTCGAATTTATTATGGCTCTGATTCTAAGTAACATTTACCAGTTACATGTAAATACAAAATGTTGCATACAACGATGTCAATTGTTTTAAATTGAAAATAATGAAGATTATTTTGAATATTTATTCAAACGTGTGTCATACAGAGGTACCTTCATAGGCATTGAAATAAATCGACCCCTGAATAAGTTTTTTTTATATCTATTTAATTAATATAATATAATCTATTTGAGTAAATAATTATATCAGCGTCATTTAGGATACATTATGACGTGGCGCGGTCAGTGTTTCTTGTAAGATCTAGACATAATTGATAATGTTCTTGGATATTTCTCCCACCCTTCACAGGTGTGTCTCCCGTTTTAGCCGGGAAAGATCAGCTTGTCACCCCCTAGGGGGAGTTAGTCTCGTGCCGATTAGTACGTGTTCAATTGTGACGTCATTAAAATGCGTCATCGGTAATTATGACGTCATCAAAAGTGAATGACGATACGCATACCCGACATGTGTTTTTGTTTACAAACATGGCAGACTACTGTCGGTGGAGCTGTGACTGAAATAATAGGATGGGAGAAAAATAATCATCCCCTACCTTGAGGGTGTAACAGAGAAATCTCCAACCCTCGGGGTGATTTTTTTGGTTGTCTAACCCTCTGCAGAGCCTCGGGTTAGACAACAACAAAAATCACCCCTCGGGTCGGAGATTTCTCTGTCACACCCTCAAGTTAGGGGAATATTCTATTTGTCACACATCGAAGGCAGACAACGATAGAAATCACCTGATGCTATTTATTTATTAGCTGCCTCTATAGGAATAATTCAGGAGATCAGACGATAATATAAAGCTGTAATAATGAATTGAAAAATAGTGGTAGCTAGTAAAATTCGAAGGAGTTATCTCCCGTTGACGTGAAGAATTTCATTAGATATGTTTGACAACTGAAGGATGTGGGGTTACGAACATGGACATATTCTCTTAAATTGTTTTCTGGTGAAGGTTTCACATAAACGTTTTTCTTGAATTTGTTTTAGAAAGCCAATTTCAAGTTGGATGATATCTGCAACAGAAACTGCTAAATAACAAGAAACCATAAACTCGAAAAACGGTCCGCATCGTCATCTACAACGATCCATCAGTCCTCATCCTATCACAAACATGAATTAACTACGTTATACTTGGTTATGTAGGACAAGCACGCTCTAATTAAATAACCATCAGTTTGCGAACAGTTAGTGTTATTTCACTCAAAACAAAGTTTTCTTTTTCGCTTAATGTCAAACAACAATAATGGACGGATTAGAATACCCACTTACGGGGTCATTAAGTATGTTCGATTTTCTACTGCAACTTTGCGCTCCATGAAGTAAATATTTCATTCAGGGAATCGTTTCTGGAGGAATTGTTGCCACCATGAAATTCCGCCATGTGTCTCTGTAGCTCAGCAAGCTTCTGTCGGATTTCTTCCTCCTGCAAAACATTATCATGGTTCAAGTAGTAATCAAAAGTTCAGTTTCAGTGACTTGCATATCAGCGGCATTGGACCTCAATCACATAACAGATATTGAATAAGGTTTTGTATCCGTATTACATAAATGTTAACGCTTTACTTACACACTTACTTACCACAACATTGGGGGATAAATGTTATGTGATATCATATTAATTGATATAACTGACTTAAGTAAAGGTGTTTGTATCAATAGTATTAAAATAGGCTTAATTGGAATACCATAACATGTATTTTATTATCAGTGCAATAAGCTGTATCATTGGGTTGAAGTTGTTTAGTTATCGGTATTTTGGAATGAAATGAAGTTAAATGATTATCTCTAATGGTGTATTAACGGCGGAACTATGCGTTTGCACCTCGTCCGTCCGTGTTCCTTGTTACGTCCACCTTTCCATTTTACAACATAAAAAATGTCTGGGGCATACTTGTTGTCTTTACTATACATTGGTACATCTTTGGATAAGAGTGTCGATACCGAAATGTAACCCTTAGTTTAGAACACTCAAGGGTACTGCTGCTGCCTAATTTAGGAGGGCAAAAGTTAATCGGAAAGTCTACCATAGGTTACCAGATTTGTTACGTACTAGGTACCTCTTGTTATTGTCGGTCATGAGATTGGACGCGAAAGAATGACAGTATTACCTTATTTCAATGCTGTCATTTACAAGTTGTGAGCTATGGGTTGTCCAAAATACTTTGACTTGTTCTTTCTGCCTTTCTAATGTACTCATTTATAATCAGATCATAGCCTAATTGCCTTGTATGTAACTCTACGACGCCATATTCTGAGTGGTAAGTGATTGTTATATTCATCATTTATGCTATTTTACAAGTCTGTTATATTTACCACTTGTTCGTTTCCCTTGCTGATTTCTTCCAGGATATTCGTGCGAAGCGCGTAGAAGGACGTTTTTATGGCGAGTTCTTTGGCACGGCTTCTGGTACTTCCGGCACGTGACGGAGAAGCTGAGGTTGCTCTCGTGTGTCGTCCTGGTGAACGAGACCGCGCCCTCTCGCGATCAGATCTTGCGATCAGCAATGTCTCCCGTTCCATGTCCATCCTATAAGATTTTCGTCTTATAATTAAGACATGTATGCATATCGGCATTTGTTTTGTTTTTATCAAAATGAAAAGTCTACATGTATCAAAATATTGGGCTCAATCAAAACGGTGATGTTTTAAATGTTTGATACTTTAACAAAAATACAGAGCATATTGATGAGGAGAACGTATTTTGTAAAATAGATCTTAGTCTTAAACCATTAGTGATACCCTAGTGGTTGCTATAAGGCAAAATGTATGTACCATATTTGTACTAGTGTATTTTGTTATGTTCGGTTAAGAAGATAGCAAATAGCAGTTATTTAATACCTTGCCGCTTCCAGTTCCCTAGCTGAAATCTCTGCTTTTCCAATCATGGATGCACACATCTGGTCTAGTGATCCTGCCAGATCGTCGAAAGCAGCTGTTATAAAACGAAACGTGTTGTAGCAAATAATAGTCAGAGAACAGGAAAACAACATTATAATAATCTTCGACAATTTCTATCAATCTTTAAAGTTAAAAAAAAGAATTTGGTTGTGAAGATATATTTGCGTACATTTTGATGAAATTAAATACTTATATGGGACAATTTCAAAAGGAGGTGTGGTGAACTGGTATTTTCTCAACTTTTCATATTTTTGAAAGTTAAATGGTTGAAAATCTGTAATTTGTTAGAATCAGTGGAATAATGATACGGTATGACAATATGTGCCATAACAATAATCAACCAGACACTAACCTAAGAAATTCAATGAATATTATTTGTCAAAATGTAAAATTTGCTTTGCAATTGTCATCAACATATTTTAGGTAGTGTGATTTTATGCACTCGCGATTCATTTTAATCACTCTTCATTTCTTAATAGATTTTCCTCAAAGTTTATACAAAGATCAAGTAAGAGAATACCTCGGGTGGGTTCGTATTTCAGGGTCCCAACGTCAACGCTAAGGTCTCTGTTGCTATTTTTCAAGGGGGCATTCATGTCTTCAGTATAATTACAGACGTTTTCTAGTTTATTTCTATCTTGTTTTCCGAATTTGTTAATACGTCATAGTGATAACGCTGCCGACGTATCAGTGTCTTAAAATATTTGTAATAAAACTGTTGTGCTGTATTATACTGTCTAGATTGTAATACTATTTCTTCATAAAAATCACACTTGTTTATCTTAGAAATACATTAACTTATCATAATATATACTTAAGTTAATACTAAATGCTAATGGGGAAAAGGCAGAGAATTATGCGCATTGATTAATATTAATCACTATTAAACGCATTCTTGTTTCGATTACTTGTTTTGCCCAATTGACGTACTTTTCATTTCGGTTTCGACGCCAATCATTTCGTGCTGAAGTAGTGTTGTGTTACCGAGATCCTCGCCCAGACTTTTGTTGACTTCCGGTTGTTCGCTGAGGATCTCGTTGAAACTCTGTTCGCTTTCAATGAGAGCCTCCCAGTTGCGTCCGATGCTCTTTGCTGCCTTGGCCATCTTCCTGCACATAGTATTAATGATACGCAGCCTCTGTATTTCGTGATCAATGTCTTCATTAAGTGTCTCGTCCACATGCGCAGATTTGTCTTTCATCACTTTCCAGTAATGTTTGAATACGTCCATCGTCCGTGACCGCCAAGACCGGTGTCTTTTATAGGCTGATAATAGATAGAACATTAGCAATGAAATGGTTCATCCGTGCAACCAGGTAAAACGTAATACAGTAGGCTATATATTTATGGAAACTCAAAACAACTCGTATCATACTGACATGTTTTTAGTGAATATGTATGTAAACAAAGGCTATAGATGATTAAGTTCTGCCATTTAGCAGCTACCGAACAAAACAACACGTACCACACCGACATGTTGTCAATGAATGTTTGAGTCCTGTCATTTAGCAGCTACCGAACAAAACAACTCGTACCACGCCGACATGTTGTCAATGAATGGTTGAGTCCTGCCATCTAGCAGCTACCGAACAAAACCACACGTACCACACCGACAGGTTGTCAGTGAATGGTTTAGTCCTGCCATTTAGCACCTACCGAACAAAACAACCCGTACCACACCGACATGATGTCAGTGAATATCTGTGTAAACAAAGGCTATAGTTGAGTGAGTCCTGCCATTTAGAAGCTACCGAACAAAACAACTCGTACCACACCGACATGTTGTCAGTGAATATCTGTGTAAACAAAGGCTATAGTTGATTGAGTCCTGCCATTTAGCAGCTATTATAACGCAATTGACTGCTGGAAATACCACCTAACTATAAGCATCGGAAAGGACCGTTATTTGGCACAAAGGTTCGTCAAATTTATTTTAAGTAAAAGAGCAAAATTGTGGCGACGCCTAAATATTCCAAAGTACGGTAATTTAGCGTTATGTCAATGTGATAGTTTGATAAGTATTTATTGGGATCGCTGCTTGTATTGCGTTACCCATAAATCATATACTACACAGACAGACAATTGCAACCAATATGTCTCAACAGAATAGTCATTTGATGAGCATTGATATGTCACCTGGATTCCTTTGGTATTACTAAAATATACAGTATAGCTGGATATAAAAAAGAATGGAATTGGTATTTTATTTGTGCCTACATGCTAATGTAAATGTGATGAATAGCAAAGGGCCACGATGTACTATATAGAGGGGGAAATAATCAAGGATATTTTAAATACTGACTTACCGCACAGCTTACAAAAACATCGGTACAGTAAAACTGTTTAAAGCTAAGAGTATAAGAGATACAAAGCCTGCCATTCAACATTATAGAAAAATACAAAAATATCTTATGACATTTTACTGATTTTGATGTCAAGACGTTTTTTTCTGTATGCCTCTAACCGTGAACTCACCTTCTTTGGCACACGACATGATTTCGAATTGATCCTCAGCAAACGAGAGATCGCCTCCCTCTTCTTGTAGCTTCATGCGTTTGAAGTCATTGATGGCCTCCTGTAGCGTCTCCGTCTCAGTCAATCTGCTAGCTGATCGCATGTTGTCTCTCACCATACTTTTCACTACGTACGTGTAAAGAGCAAAAGACTATTCATGACAAAGAAGAGACGAAACAAGGGCGAGTTACGAACATTGTTGTTCAGTGCCATACGCGAGGTAGTGTCAAGAACAAAGCAGTTGTTTGTAGGACAGATTTAGAAGCTTTAAAATAGTATCAGGAACAGAAGTAGAGTAGGCTTCAAGGTAGTGATTGTAAAACGTAACTGGTTTCAAGGCAATCAGGACATAGAATATATTTCAAGGTAGCGGTAAGACCCAAATGAACAAAGAGTCGGTTTCAAGATAGAGTCAGGATCAACAAAGTCAGTTTCAAGGTAATGTCAGAACAGTAAAGTTTTCTTCAAGGTAAAGATAAAAACCAAAGGTAGAATTGACTTCAGGTTGGTCAGGAAAACATGGTAGAATTATGAATAAAGGTGGAAGTTTAAGCCACAAGTAGATTATATTGTAAAATCAGGATAACAAACTTTGATAAGATATTTGCATTATTGCGTAGTTTTTTTGGAACGTTTAATATTTATGAAAGTTAGTTTTTAAAAACCATCAATGAGGATAAATATCACGTTAAAAGACTATAACGGTCCTTTGACAGTAAACAGGGTATCCTACATTATGTCGATCGCATAGGATCACCTTTGGCGGTATAAAGTACCTTTGTTCATGTTCTCCTCCAACTCTAACTCGTTGAGAGCGTCCTCTGCTGCCCTGAAACTTTGTTCGGCGTCGCCCTCCCTTGGACTGTTTTCGTCATCATCCCCGTTATTGATAGAACTATACATACTCGGCACCGATATTCTGGTGGGGGCGGACTGTATGAAGGAGTTACCTTTCTTGGGTGTACTGGTCGCACGGTCCAGCGGCTCCCGGGGAGTGGATGTTTCTGAAAGGTAAGATTTACTGTTAACATCATCATACCATCAGATCGAGCAGGATCGGGCGAGAAAACGCTGATCTATTGGTACATGTTATTACTAGTACAAGCGAGGTAAGTATAGCATACCTCTCATCCAGCAGCATGCATATACAAAAGATTTTAAATGAACATTATATTTACATGCTTATTGTTGAAAGGAAGTAGCAAGGGGCATTTGATAAATGCATTGCTGTAATGGTAAGAATAGAAATATTAATGCAAAGCTGTTCTGTGGTTAATGTTTTTAATGAATTAACACTAGAATCTTCATCGGGGTATTGTACCATATGATGAGCTCCAATCCTAATATGTTGGGTTTTAAGTATGCTATGTAGAGTTGTATAGAATATGATAAAATCTACAGCTTTTTTTCAGAAATGATAAGATTTTGTAGAATGTGTAAATCGGGGATTCTTTCTTACCGTGAAAAAAAGGTTAGAAATAAAACAGCTCAAAAAGCACCTTTTATTTACCTCAACAAGTAAACTTTAATATGCAAATGGTCCAGTCTTTCCCTATTTAATGGTAATGGTATAAAACATGCTATTCCTTGTACGGGCGAAGTAAGCATGGTCCTTCTCAAAAATGTTGAACGTCATAAAAATATATTTGATACTTTTTGGGGTTAAATATTATATAGAGAGAGTTAAAGTGTTTAAATAATGATGTCAAATACTTTACCTGAGGTTCACTAACTATCATAAAAAGCAGGCTTTACCTGGTGCAAAATGCAATCCACTATCGTCACGAAGGGTCTGCATACCACTATCTCGTCCTAGGGAACGATCTAGATTGACTATATAAGGAAGCAGGGTTAATCCGTTAGAACATGTAAGGATATGGTATCAGCAGTGTAATAAATGTTTTACACCGTATTAAGACGATAAATATTGATATATAACACGTTTTGATATTTGACAGACATTACAAATTAGTTCTACTATACAAGGATATACATATAGATATCACTACACATGTAGCATAGCATATATAATATCATAATACTTTCATATTTATTAGAATGTAGTAATATGCAATGTTATAGTTTGATATTTTTACATACATGATTATAATTTGTTTTATTAGATAATAATTTAATCTTGGTTGTAACAAGCATTTTCATTGGCTTACAAATTTATGTTATCAGCCCATAACGTAACGTTTGTAACGTCGCTTCTGATTGGCTGATACATTGGCGTAATAATTTAAAATAAAAGAATCCATCAATGAAAGTGGATTTCCACAGGGATGGTGTAAGGTAGATTAAATCATAAGGATTGACTTGAATATATTTTTCATGTTATGGATCTATACAACAAAAAACCGGAGTGTACTCTCATCATAAATCGCTTCGCGGTTTATTTAGAGTAAATTCCGTTTTTTTGTGTTATATCTTCATAAAATAAAATAAAATATTCAAGTTAATCCTTAAATAACATTGTACTTGATTAAAATAAAGTTAAAACGTTCTTTCATAGTTTTGTTGAACTTGGTAACAATATGGTTTGCAGATAAACAGATACGATTACTGCAAATCAGTTGTAACATAGCTAGCATCAAATAATATAGCAAAGAAATTCTATCACAAAATTTAATATCGCGCTAGTAGTTACTCGTGCACAGTAAATATATTTTTTATCATTTTGCCAATGTATATCTTCGCGAATTAGTCATAACATAGTTATCAACTGCAATAAAAGCAAATATCAAAAATAACTTATTTGCAGCACAACTCATTTTAACAGGAATCAGTTGTCAAAACCATTATCAGCTGAATAAAACAGTGTATATGTATGTTGAATTTGATTACATTTCATATGAAATCGACTTATAACTCTCCCAAAGGTTTAATGATATTTTATTTCGTCTCGAATAATTTCAAGGAATATTTTAATTCGCCGAAGGCTTGAATTAACATTATCTTAAAGATGCACTTCATACATTTCGAATGAAATGAAAATAGTTTAAAGACTATTTGATGCAATAAGCTAACAGCATTATAATGCACACGTGCAATACCCATAAGACGTAAAAATTAGCTCAAAATGTTTAAATGACCTCTTTATCTTTTTTTCAATATTTTTATCAATGTTACATGTTTCAATGATACACTCTATTCCTAGCCTCACAACAACTGGTTCTTGTACAAAATGGTAAACTTTGTTATTTATGATCGTGTCATAAAAACATGCTGGTCAAGCAGGCGTGCAATATTAGTTGGCAGAGTTCTTTAGTCGCTAAATGGCAAACATGATGCATGATATAAACCGTGAAACATTCTTGGGTAGCTGTTTTGCTGATTTATGCGTCTTCAGACCAGACCAGTAAGTAAATACGTGTATTCCGTCTTTGCGTATTGCAGAGTTATCTTCTCTTGTGAGCAGGTATTGATTGTTACGTCATTGGTTTGTGTGAGAAGATTACGTCGTTTTTTCCAAAATTGATGACGTTACTCTCACAAACAAATGACGTAACAATCAACCCCTGCTCACAAGAGCAGATAACTCTGCAATACGCAGAGACGGAATAAGCCTTCACGGTAAGGGGGTTTGTGTGAACTTCAATGTTGTCATGGTAGAGGATAAAACCGGTAATATAAATACACGAGAAATGTTTCATGTACACACTGCACACATACGCTATATCATGAAAAAACAAATTATATATTCACAATTGTACAAACATCAACGTCAACAACACTTTAATGGTGAGATGTCTGACACCAAATCAACGGAATGAAAATAAAAGTGAAAAAAAAGACATGCATGTTTACATCATGAAAATGATATCAAATGAAATGAAAGAATGAAATTTATGAGACGCTTTATAATAATTTAATGGTATAACTATGGAAAAGATGTAAGCAGTACGTTATGATTGACAGAAATGCATGCCTTGGTCAATAACTCCCTATTTCAACTAGACGCTGGCGTATGGTCGTGTGAAGCCGAGAACTGCGCTCGTTACTACTGTTGTAGCCAAAAAGAACAAAGCGTCTTCCTTACCTACTGTGTTAAAGTCTAGATGTGGAACCTGCTCTGTTTGAGAGATGTATATGTGAACTCCGCCAGAACTTTTTAGCTGTACTGGTTCCGGTCGTGAATTTGAGTCATCTGTCTGGAGGCAAGCGTCTCTTGTTGTATTTAATACATGCGGTGATGCAAATTCTATTGTATTTGATTGTTCAACAGTGGAATCATCTTGGTCAAAACCTAGCTCACTATTCTTTTCATTGGCTTCGTTCTCTTCTTTCTCCTCGACTGTTTTGTCTTCCTCCTGACTCTCATGAATGTCGTTGGCTAAACATATGATTCATCACATGGAGTGCAAAGAACAAATGAAGATGATTCATATGAATGTTTTACACGATGACAGAAAATGGATATGAATAGTTAATAAGCCTGTACTGGGACATTTTCACGTTGTTTTTTATGCAATTTTCAACTTGATCGAAGTCATCTTTTTAAAATCTTAAAATACTTATAGAACACTCACAGTGGTGTAACTGCATTGTATAAATTGAGTAATTCATCTTACAGATTCTATTAAGAAAACGACATCATTTTTTTCTAATTTTTAACTGAATCAGATTTAAGGTAATAGTTTATGATACAATACTTGTTGTTTATGTTATCTTCATAATTATATACATTCTTGTATATTATTTTGAAGATGCGCAAGGCCGAATAAGATGATAATAATAATTATTGAAATACATTCAAATGTTTCAGCAGTTCACAATTACCATGACATGAAAAAAATAGACTTTGTAGTTTGTTAATGAAACGAGATAAGGTTATGATAAGGTGGCACCTATTTGAAAATGTTACAGTAAACAGTATTTGATACATTGTTTGATGGATATATGAAACATGAAACGATCTTCATTAAACTACGATGACGCAAAACATGTGAGATTATTGTGATTGTAGGCAGTAAAACCATAAGGCCGTATGAGTTATCGTCCTTCGGATGTGATGTCATCGGTAGATGTCGCCACATTATCATTCTTGATTCGAGGCTCTTTATTATGTGATACCATGATTCAATGTCTGTAGGTTGTATTTGAATAAAAATGAAGGCAAAATATTGCAGACAGGCCTTGTGATTATACATGGCGTGGGTTTCAGGAATGAAATGTGAAACAACAATGTGAAACAACAATGTGAAACAGCAATGTGAAACAACACGAGTGGTCACGTGATCTGTTACACACACGGACTGGTTGTGTCTACCTTTACATGAACATTTGGTTGTACAACCTCCTCTCATGCAACAGGTGTCTCCACCTGTACAATCAGGTATTTCACGTGTACGATAAGTCATTGTCTCTGAAATACAATATCATTAACGTTAACTAGTCGGAGCACATCAAAGAGTGAGATATATGTTATACGCATTAAGCAGTAATAAAGCATTTTGGATAATTAAATATTCATATATGTAATAAACAATGTTGTCAATATGTTAATGAGCAAGGGAAAAGCCATCTTCAAATAACTCTTATCCACTTTATTTCTGATATAGGGACTTACCAACTGACGAGAAGTCCGGAACCGGAAGTTGGTCATCCTGCACCACATATATGTGGAGGCCTTTGTTTTTGCTCACCAGATGTATCGGGGCGGTATCGTTAAGACTCCTGTTTCCCGTGTCAAAACTCCTGTTGCCTCTATCAAAACTTCTGTTTCCCGCGTCAAAGCTTCTATTTCCTGCATCAAAGCTTTTGTTTCCTGCATCAAAGCTTCTATTTCCTGTATCAATCTGATCTGCTGTCTGCTGGAATGTTTCCCGACTTCTGTTAAGAGGCTCGGCTATCTCAGGCTCAATGACTTCGTGTTTTGGGACTGTAATGAAAGGACACTGTGTTCTCATTTTATAATGCAAATATTGAGAAGTATTCACTATTTTTCTACTTGTATTTCAAACATAATAATGAATAAATGTAAAAAAAAAAGACGGACTTGAAAACATATTTAGATAATATGGAAAACATAGTTAAAATCAGAAATAAACATGTGCAAAATGTTGTGATATACCACTAACGTTTAGAATGATTTCCAACACAATACCTGGTCTTCCAAGCATGTTGGTGAGAATGTCCCTTGCGGAAGTAAGGTCACCATCTTCCTCCTCCAACCGTAGTGCTCGGCACTTCTCTAGAGCTGCCTCTAAAGCTAATCCTTCACAAGCGCGTGTGGCTCTTCGTAACTCCTTTCGACATATCATACGTTCTGGATAACACAATAATAGACTTGCAAGAATGTTATACTCACTCATATAATCTTTAAAATGACCCTTGCTGTTGCGAGGCTGATGGCCTTATGGCCTAAATTTTAATCAAATCTTGAAATAGGAGGACGTGAAACCCTAAACAAACCAACATTTATGAAGAAGTAAACATTTCTCAGTTAACATACGTTTTACGAATCTTTAATTTTGAAATATGTCGTTTTGTTTTGCTGATGTCTTTATCATTTTCCCCACTGCAAACAACGCAATTGTGTTCATGCAGGACATCAATACTTCCCTCTTTTTATAATTATATCGAGCGTGTTTCATTAACGGGAAACGCTTGTTGAAGGAAAGGAAATGTGCCCACTGCAAATTCAACGTGATTTGGAGAGACAGAAATGGTGGTTAATCTGATAATGTTACTATATGCATCTTTAAAAGGGTGTATCGAAGTCAAGAAAACAATTTTTATTACGTACTCCTCTTCCCACCTGTAAACAACAAAATAAAATAGATGTGACTATCTGGCAAAGATCTCTGTCTTAAATGTTAGGTCGGCCTCTGATAGAAAATATTGTGAAACATATATATTTCTGATGAAATCAAATATAGTGGTTGTCTGAAAAAAAACCATCTTTGCCACAAAATGAAGAGGTATGTGATTCACTATACACAGAGGGTACGTTAACAATATTGATGTCTTCATGTGTATCCACACTGTATTTTATTTTACATTGCACACAGGTATAACCGTCGTACATGTCCAATCAGCTATGTGGTCCATCTATTCTCTTAATTTTGTTTTATTATTTTAGTTCACGTTTATACTTCAAACAACATATAATGATCCACGAAAGTAATGGCACTTATAGAAAATACAGCAACTTCTCAAACATACTAGGTGTGCTTCTAAGTATAATACATACTCTCCTCAATTTCCAGTTCCCTCAACACAGCTTCGCCATTTGCAATTTCAGCCGCCATTTTCTCCGCGTTGATTTCTCTCATTCGTGTCACCCATTTGTGAACCTTTGTCCGATCTCTCTGCTTGATAGCCTGCATCAAACGTTGGGTCAACCGCATTTGTTCTGGGGGGAAATCGAATTCAATCATTTGTTCATATATTTTAACAACCGATAATGGATGCTTGCCATTGGTATTTTGACGAATTCACATTCATTTCATTATATTTTTAAATATCGTATTAAATTTCGACACGTTTTAAGTTCATAATTACAAAATATATAATACATGTATCACAATTTTTATTGTAATGTCAAAAAACCAACTACGTGCAAAAGCATTCAAGAATTACTCGGATTAATTCTACAATTCTTGCATTTTTAGCTTGTTTTCCCCACCGGAACATCCTGGATACGTTTTAGCTACGTTTTCAAAGATACGTTTCTGTGTTATTATCAGATACTATTTTGAAATTTTGTGTTGATTTGTTTTCAGGAAATGACAAGTTATTCGCATGAAAGCATTTTTACACCATTCGGTTTCTTTCCTTAAAAAACAATGCCAGTGAAATTTCATTTTTCAATAATTGGTTTGGTTTTGTTTGTGTGTGTTTAACGTCCTATTAATAGCTAAAGTCATTTAAGGAGATGCCAGGTTTTCGGTGGTGGAGGAAAGGCGGAGCTTCCGGGAGAAAACCAGCTACCTACGACCAGTACCTGGCGACTGCACCACGTAGGCCTCGAACCCACGAACCAGTGGTGGAGGGCTAGTGATAGCAGAATGTCAGAGGCCTTAACCACTTGGTCCTTTTTTTTTAAATAACTTGCTATGTCTTGCAAATAATTATCTTTCAGGTTAATCAGTTTCATTTGAGTGGCGCAATAATTGGCTCCAGGAAAATTCTATGACAAAAGCCATATACACTAAACCCTTGCATATCGCGAATACTTTTGGTGCGATGCTGTACTCACTTTCGTCCTCAAGTGCTCGTAGCTCATCCAATGCCTTCTGGAAGAGCTGCTCCTGCTTCATCTCAATTTGTAGAGAATCCTCTTTTGACACGACCTAAAGAAGCATTCAACACGATAACGTTTTGCACATCTGGGGAATATATGTACTCAAGGATCACAAGTTATTCGTTCTTATTAAAGGAATTCTTGATAGTTTTATAGTACGTAGGGTTTGCTACGTGCATAACGCACATCCTGAACACGAAGCAGAGGAGGACGAGAACTGAACATATAATTTTGAAAGAACAACGTGAATTGACTTACTTCGTATGTGAAAACTCTGAATGGGACATCACCCGTACGACCTATGGCCAGGATCTCCACCACACTTCCGGGCGTCCCCGTCCGGACGTATCCTTCCCAGAATTGCCCATCTGTCTGCTTCAGTTTACATTCTGAATGGTCCTTCACTGAGATTATTCGGGCCTCGGGCATGGCCAAGGATACTTTGTGCACCTCGTGTGCCAAGAGATAGAAAGTACGCGGCGCCTTCAGTCTGTAGCCCAGACACCATTCTGGTGACGGCGTCTGGATGGGGGACGGCATTCCAGTTAGTGTCGGGAGAACAACGTCAATGATTTTTACGTAAATAGGGATCCCTTCAGTGCTACTGATATTTGGCGGTCGTGCAAACACTGTGAGTTTGTATGATCCATGCTTAGGAAAGATGCTTGTGATGGTAACGGTGTCATCTTGTGTGTCACACATGACGTAATTATCGTAAGCTTCCTTCTTCAAACCTTCCTCAAACATAAGTGTGGCGAACACGTAGACACCCGGAGGTCTTTTTATGTGCATTCGGAACTCTCCTGTCACAAGGTTACTGATGTACGACGGCCATGGGTCATCCTCCGAAAAGCCCAGTTTTCGGAAGTCTTCATTCGGTCCGAGATGATTGCCCTCCTCAATGTCAGGAAAAGGCTTCGTTTGTATAGGTTCGTCCTGACAGCTTACAAGGTAACTACATGCGGGTGCAAACCTGGTTTTCTTGTGTCTTTCTTTCGCAAGGACATTCAAGGAGTACTCGCCGGGCTCAGGCAGTCTCAGATTGATTGCCATCTTCCCGTTTTCTATTGAATGCATGATATGTCGGCTAGAAACTGGTTCATCTTTCTCTCCTCGAATGAGATCGTGACGGAATTCGAGGTCTTTTTGCAATGTGAATTTTATTTCTGCATCTCCGTCTTCAGCTTCCACTTCACCTTTCTTGTGTGTGACAGCGGTCATACCCATGTCCTTGGTGTCCTCACCTGGTCCCCACTCCTGTCTCATATTCGGCGGTAGCGGTCTACAACTTGCGGATATCCCGGTACATTCTATGATGTAAGTCACCAACAGAGCATGGTGTGTTTCGTTTGTTTCGCTTCCGTGTAACTCAAACAGATACTGACCCTCGGCCGGACACCTGATTGTTGCCCTAATATCACCTTCTTCCATGTCGCGTTCCAGGAACACGTATCTATCCAATGTGTTTCGAGAAGACGCAGTCACCTCTCGGCTCCCCTTGGACCTGTACAATTTATAGACAAACGCCATGCTTTTCTTCTTTTTCATCCCTAGTACAAACGTGACAGTCCCGTCTGGGCAATGGACCCTGTTCTTTGGATGTGATCTTAGATAAAGATCGTGCCTAAAAAAGTCTGATCTCAAAGATGCTGCATCTCTGGCTTCTTCGTATGACATTGGTCGTGCCAACAACTGGAATTTCTCATCGTCTGGAAAATGGTCGTAGATAAACATTTCCGGTTCCGTCAGGAAATAGTAATCCCGGAAACGCACGTGTGTCTTGAATGATCCTCTGTTTTCACGCATGGCTCGGCGCTGACTGACTTTGCCATTCTCATCCTCTATGAGTCGCCAGTTGTTCTTAAGAACGCCATATGCCGCCTCGCAAATCCAACGGACGTCCATCACTCGCCATTGACCGTCCAGAAGCACAACTGTCCATGTCTTCTTCTGCTCTCTGAAATCGTCCCCTACCTCATACTTGATCGTGTTGCGGACACATCCCGACACAGCGAAGCATTTCAGTCCAGCGTGTCTACGAGAGACAAAGAGGAACCATACATTTATAGAAAGGGAGGAGCTACCATCCAGAATCATGGATTGGTATAAATGACTACGCATCGTTGGATAAGTAAACCCGCGGCTGCGTTCATGACGTTCACTTAACCTATCTATGATGAGAGAACGTAAGTAGATACGTCCAGTAGAACATGCATGGTTAAATTGCTGATACATTTGCTATGCAATTAGTAATTTAATACGTATTATTTCAATAATAACTAAAATGATTAAAAGAGAATGACAAAGTACATATGACTGGACTTGAGTGGTATCATTTTGAGTCTATACCATCGAGTTATCTAACAGCTACCAGAGAAAACAACAAATTGATGGATTTCACTCATGAAATGATGGATTTAATGAGACAATGACTTTTTTAAATAACAACGCAATGATCGATGGTATGGAATTACTGAAGATTTGGTCTAATGTAGAAGTATTTTGATTTTTTTCCCAAGGATATGCAGAGAATGCAAAAAATAATCGTACTTGCAAAGAACATGAAAAAGTTCATCATAATCTATTTCACGTCTTCGTAGTTTCCATAGGTACATGGCTGTGGATTCCGCGTGACTCCAGGTAGACCTCGGAAGGTCTCTGATGTAGTCGTCGTCTAAACACCGAGCAAGCCACCTGTAAGTATAAATGTTTGATATCAACGGATAGTATGCCTTACCATTGCAATTAACACGCTTTGATTTCATTCATTTCATAATGATCCTATAGGAGATGAACACACATATAATCGAAGTGAACAGATTTGTAACACGATATGTGCTGGATGGACACTGATCAAGCCAGAGAACTCTACATATCATATTATATATTCAATTATATTATAAATCATGTGTATATATAAGTCTCTGGTCAAAAAGACATGGTTAAGAGTAGTAACCTCCTGTTGGCATAATCACCTTGTGAGGACTCTTGCCTTCTCCACATCTGTCTCGGCTGGGCGGATTAAGAATTCCACCAATAACGCAATGCGGTGGGTAAGGTAGCTCGACGGAGTCTGTAAGAGGGAAGATTTTTAGTTTAAGTTGTTAATTACATATAATTTAATCTTGCTTGTAACCAGCATTTTCATTGGCTTAAAAAATTATATGTTATCAGCCCATAACGTTAAAAAGTGACGTCGCCGTTTGTAACGTCGCTTTTGATTGGCTGATACAGCGGCGTTATCATTTCTAAGAGAAAAGAGCCCATCAATAAAAGAGGATTTCCACAGGAATTGTGTATAGTAGATTAAATTATAAGGATTGACTTGAATACATTTTTTTATGTTATGGAGCTATTATACAAAAAACCGGAACGTACTCTCATCATAAACCGCTTCGCGGTTTATTTAGAGTACACTCCGTTTTTTTGTGGTATAGCTCCATAACATATATTCAAGTCAATCCTTAAATAAAATCGATTTCACAAATGTTTTTGTTTACAAAAGTTTTGTCATTTTGAGGTCGAAAAAGATTTAATGGGTTAAGCGAACAAAAAGTCGTCGCACAAAAATGGTTGCTTTGCATTCTCCGCTGAAACATTGGAAAACGTTTAATAATTGTTTCCCTGACGAAATGTATTCTAAAAATTCATAGGGAGTTAGAAGAAAGTTGTGGATGTTGGTAGGTATGCTGAAAAATTATTTGGCAATACTTTGGAAAAGAATCTGCTCCAATCGTCTGTGTTATAGTGACTTTGTAAATATCGTACGCTTGCAGACGACAACTGCTTTGCAAACAAGTGATTTTGTTTTGGTTACACAACACACTTGTCATTCCCTCCCATAAGAGAATTCAAACTATATACCTGGGTTTTTAGATTCAAAACATGAAACGTTATGGCATAATTATTTACATTTACATGCATTTTTACCTCGAGCGCATGCGTATCTAGCTCGTCCAAAATGTCCTCGTCCATTAGCGCTTCTTTTGATATGATGGGGGGACACGGGAGAGGACTGCCATATTCGTCTTCCGGTGGTTGCCATTTTAGTTTGTGGTAGACTTCCTGTGCCTCTCTAAGCAGTTCCGGTGTAGGTGGTTCCCGGTAAAACCCTAACTTTCGTAAGTGCTCCTTCAGTTCATCCTGCTACAATTCAGAAATCGCAACAATATAGATATATACATGCGATCTGTTTTTATACGTTAGACGTGAATATTCAATAATAGTTTTAATATTACGGCATAATCAACCTTTATCACAATGTCATGACTGACGTGAATACACCCTTGTTACACATTTTCTGTGATACTTCATATAATGGCAGTCATTGTGATATCATATTAAAACCAACAAACATGGAACCAAAAGTATGACGGTTTGACGATGGTAGTACATCAATTTGCACCGTAATAGTGTGGGCTCTGTGGCGTAGTGGGCAGCGCACTTGCCTTTCACCAAGGCAGCCTGGCTTTGATTCCCTGATCGGACGTGAAGAGCTATGGGGTCACTTGCCCGACCACGTGGGTTTTCTCCGGTTACTCCGATTTCCTCCCACATTAAGACCCCCCGCGTGCTTACATTTAAACAAGAGTGATTAAATATAAGTTGAACGAACTTGTTTCAAAATTGTTGTAAAATAGATAAAGTTTATATATATATTGTGGGCTCATGTATGAAAATGATCTAGAAAACTTTTCCATATTATATAAAATTCAAACAAAAATTTAGCATTGCTGAAAGTTTCATCTACTATTCCATAGTTATATTTTACAGAATCGTGTTCCACATACTCATTGCAATAAAGCAATATGGTATTGCCATCTGATGATCACATGTATATTGCTATAGTATTCATCCCTGGTTTCCACTGCATACCAATCCATTATCCCCTTCCCTATTCCCGTATTTGTTCTGTTGTACATATTACTTCATTCCTGTAGCTAGTGTTGACAAGTTGATTATTAAGCAGGTAAAACATATACACGACACTTGTTTTTGTTTCCTTTTCTGTTCTATAAAATGTACAATTTGTATTTCAATTTATTATAAAAAAAAATGAACAAAACAATGTTTATACCAAACAAAAATGTTCTCATAGACCTGGCTGGTGGTATGCTAACAATGAATTTGAAACGGCTTCTGTTTGAAGCGACGAACAAAGACTGACACTCGTCACAGCTCGGCAGATTCCGTACCTATAATCAGCCGAGGTTAGCCGAACGGAATCCGATCAACTTGAACAACTTTACAATCCGCACTTATTCAACTTCAGTTGATCCCCGCCTGTGTGGAAGTGAAGTGTATTTGCATGACGGAAATTAAATCTACTGATTTCATCCGTAACCTGAATGATTTCGATTTCGATGTATTTCCCTATTTGAAATATATTTAAATGCGTTTTGTCGTGTTACTTGTGTAAATATGCCATTAACATGTCATAACGGACATAATTAACTTAACCAATAATTTTCCTTCCTGAAATGTTTCTTTCAATCAGGGATGGTTTTAAATATTAACAGACGTAATGTGGGGCGGAACGAGGATTAAAAATGCAATTTAAAGAAATTATCCCAGAACTTGTTATATTTTCATTTCATTATTAATTACAGCTGAGCACAGTATGTATTTCTTACCCTGAAATCATTGATAAGTTGGCTACCAAACCCTCTTATCAGCCCGTCGAGTCCCAATATTGATAAAATATCATCAAAATGTTGAAAAGGAATTTCAACTGGTTCGGATTAGATATAGCAAACTTTGTGCAAATTCGTAAACAAAAACTAAGTCAGGAATTCGTCAGTTTAAATGTATTTATAAGCTGTCTTTTACAATATTATATGCAGTTGACATTATTGTCCAAATAACTGTGATGTTGTTGTGAATTAAAATGACCTCCCGTGCGTTACCCTATTCTTCCATGATGCGTTTTGCTGAATGTCTAATGATATTCTACAGAGCGCAAAAACACGCTATATTATCATTTAATGTTCGATAGCTTTTATCTCCCCATTTAAAATACAACCAAGTTTTGTGTAAATATTGCTACCTGCCTGTCCTACTTTGACATTTGTGTGTTAATAGCTCTGAAACGTGTATCTAGGGCACAATTTCTACCTGTACGGATCAATGGCGCTATTGATTGAGCTATCACACCTGTACAGGTATGTCACAACCAGCATTACTTCGATCTGTATCGATCAGTGATCACAATGGACATTTTGTTTCGGGGTATAATGTACAAATCGAACTATTGTTTTATTGTGTCTGTTGTACAGTAACATACACCACAGTCCCGTCGACTATCTGACGGAGTAATCCTCTTATACCTAATACAGCCCCGTTAGCTGAGAATTTTAAAACTGCTTTTGAAGTCATAAAAGCAATTTATGTTCAACTAGTTTTGTATACGCTGACGGTCAATTGAATTCTGTAACACATTTGACGAATTTACACACATCATGACAGAACGTAGTTTGTCGAAAGACTATATAATTGGCTTATTTTGTGTTTCAGGCAAATTAGTTCAAAACTAGTATTTTATTTAATAATTAATTACTTAATATTATTTAATAGATAATAAACATATATATATATAGTTACAACCGCATCACCGACGCTGTACATGAAAGTTTTAGATTATAGATATCAAAGCATGTAACTGCATTCTGTTCCGTTTTATTGGACCATAAAAGGGAACAGAATGCTGTTTAATACTTATATTTACATCTTTTTAATATTCATTTCTAAGTTTACAATGCACTTTTAAATTCGACTTTCGCGTTGTTTGTTCAAGAGGTAGAACAGCCCATGGAATTGCTCACGGAATGTCGTTTCGTGACTTTCCCAAGAAAACAATATAGTTCTTTGAAATAGACACACAAATATCGATACTACTTCCAAAATTTAATCAATCAATATATTCAGTTCACATTGTATAGAAGCCTTACATAAAACGGTGAATATTATTGAATCATAGTGGGTTATTTTGCTTATCTGCTTGTTAGTGCGGAGGGAAACAGTGATCCGGAAGTAAGTCGGACACGGTACCGGTGGAATATCACTACGCCTGTGTTATGATCTCATGACACGGAACTGGCCTTGGAAGTGTAATATAGTGGCAATGCAGAGCAAATGTAAATATAACCGCATCACCGACACTGTACATGTAAGTTACATATAGTTATAACCACATCACCGACACTGTTCATGTAAGTTACATATAGTTATAACCGCATCACCCACGCTGTACATGTAAGTAACATATAGTAATAACCGCATCACCGACGATGTACATGTAAGTTACATATAGTTATAACCACATCACCGTCACTGTACATGTAAGTTACATACGGTTATAACAGCATCACCGACGCTGTACTTGTAAGTTACATATAGTTATAACCGCATCACCCACGCTGTACATGTAAGTTACATATAGTTATAACCGCATCACCGACACTGTACATGTAAGTTACATATAGTTATAACCGCATCACCGACGCTGTACATGTAAGTTACATATAGTTATAACCGCATCACCGACGCTGTACATGTAAGTTACATATAGTTATAACCGCATCACCGACGCTGTACATGTAAGTTACATATAGTTATAACCGCATCACCGACGCTGTACATGTAAGTTACATATAGTTATAACCGCATCACCGACGCTGTACATGTAAGTTACATATAGTTATAACCGCATCACCGACGCTGTACATGTAAGTTACATATAGTTATAACCGCATCACCGACGCTGTACATGTAAGTTACATATAGTTATAACCGCATCACCGACGCTGTACATGTAAGTTACATATAGTTATAACCGCATCACCGACGCTGTACATGTAAGTTACATATAGTTATAACCGCATCACCGACGCTGTACATGTAAGTTACATATAGTTATAACCGCATCACCGACGCTGTACATGTAAGTTACATATAGTTATAACCGCATCACCGACGCTGTACATGTAAGTTACATATAGTTATAACCGCATCACCGACGCTGTACATGTGAGTTACATATAGTTATAACCGCATCACCGACGCTGTACATGTAAGTTACATATAGTTATAACCGCATCACCGACGCTGTACATGTAAGTTACATATAGTTATAACCGCATCACCGACGCTGTACATGTAAGTTACATATAGTTATAACCGCATCACCGACGCTGTACATGTAAGTTACATATAGTTATAACCGCATCACCGACGCTGTACATGTAAGTTACATATAGTTATAACCGCATCACCGACGCTGTACATGTAAGTTACATATGGTTATAACCGCATCACCGACGCTGTACATGTAAGTTACATATAGTTATAACCGCATCACCGACGCTGTACATGTAAGTTACATATGGTTATAACCGCATCACCGACGCTGTACATGTAAGTTACATATAGTTATAACCGCATCACCGACGCTGTACATGTAAGTTACATATAGTTATAACCACATCACCGTCACTGTACATGTAAGTTACATACGGTTATAACCGCATCACCGACGCTGTACTTGTAAGTTACATATAGTTATAACCGCATCACCGACGCTGTACATGTAAGTTACATATAGTTATAACCGCATCACCGACGCTGTACATGTAAGTTACATATAGTTATAACCACATCACCGTCACTGTACATGTAAGTAACATACGGTTATAACAGCATCACCGACGCTGTACTTGTAAGTTACATATAGTTATAACCGCATCACCGACACTGTACATGTAAGTTACATATAGTTATAACCGCATCACCGACGCTGTACATGTAAGTTACATATAGTTATAACCACATCACCGTCACTGTACATGTAAGTAACATACGGTTATAACAGCATCACCGACGCTGTACTTGTAAGTTACATATAGTTATAACCGCATCACCCACGCTGTACTTGTAAGTTACATATAGTTATAACCGCATCACCGACGCTGTACAGGTAAGTAACATACGGTTATAACCGCATCACCAACGCTGTACATGTAAGTTACATATAGTTATAAGCGCATCACCGACGCTGTACAGGTAAGTAACATATGGTTATAACCGCATCACCGACACTGTACAGTTAAGTTACATATAGTTATAACCACATCACCCACGCTGTTCATGTA